CAGCATGGCCGCGCCGGGGGGGCACCGCCGAGGCTAGGCGAGGGACTTAGTAGCGCTTTTTGAGAAGGTCGCGCTTTGCCCCAGAGAGCGCGGGTGCCCGCTCTACGGAGATTCCGTAGTGCGTGAGATTTGATACGCTTATTGCACTGATTTCTTTTTTTAGTGATCTTATATCGCTGCCGTTTTTTTTTTTTTCTCCTTCAGGTCATTTTTCTTCATGGATTGGGAGATACTGGGTGTGTACTGCTTTATTAATACATATGTAGTTGTTTATGTAGTTTCAGATAAAAGGCTGTATGTTTTAAGGGTGTGCGCAGTTAAAGTTACTTCTTGCTTTAGTGTGCCCTCAATTGACTGCAGTGACTGACATCCGAGGAAACTTGATAAATTCTGGAATGATGGTGGTGACAATTTTAAATTTCCCAGCAAAAAGCTTGGATAATCAAAAGCTGTTTCTTTTCTCTTTTTGATCACTTATATCAACTAATCTGAATGCGATCTTTCTTCTGTTCTTGGTTCAAGATTAGTGGCAAGAGAAGTCTTCTGTTGATTTCTGATTTTGTTTTCTTGGGAGTAGGTTCCCGGTTATTTCTGTGACGGTCTAAATTTAAAGGTGTCCCCCCCCCCCCCCTTTCAGTTAGTCCATGGTATGTTCTTCAGTATGTAATATTTAAGTCAGCTTGGATTTTAAAGCTTCTAAGCAAACTCCTAGCTAGTTACCTGATTTCACTTTGTGAAATATGGTCTTCAGACTCTAAGAAGAAAAGCAAATTGTGAAATTCTTCAATCTGTTTTCCATATTCTTCTTATTTCCAGGTTGTAATGGAAATGGCAAGAGCAGGGAATTCTTGGAACACACACGCACGCACGCGCGCACACTGTAATGTTCCCATGTGAAGCTTCTGTGTGGCAAAACATAAGCTTACGTTCAGTCTTACTGCTTTGGTATTAAAGCTGTTGAGTTAGAAGTAAGGACTGTATTCAGACCTTTATCTGGTAGAAGTCTTTAAAGGAAGCAGCAGTTAAGAGACTGAAAACAGCTGGCATGAGTGCGTTGTCCTTCTTGCTCCTATATGGTCACAGTTACATAATATTTTTTAGAACTTTGCTTTTGTTGCCTAGAACTTTGATGTTGCTTCTAGGTTGAAAACTGTGATGTTTAAGAAATGAACTTTTTTTTGAAGAGTGAAACAAAGTTAAACTGGCTGTTCAGGTTATGGAAGTTTAAATTCTGACAATAAGTTAAAAACACTTAAATCCATGCACTTGGCTGTATTCTACAAGTGGAGATGTTTGCTCTCATTTGTTGTTCTGACTGTTGGCTGCTAACTCACCTTGTTTGAGTTGTCCCTCCTCTTTTCTGTTGATGGGCTGCATCTGAAGCAGCAGTACTTACTCCCTGCATCTTGACACTAAATGTTTACCATATGATTGCAGAATCTTTTCAGTTGCTTTTCTTACTTGCAAAGGAAAAAAAGCCGTAAAGACTCGGTCTTCTACATATACTGTACTCCTCATACAAACCTGGTATTTCCATTTTAGTTACAAGTGCAGTCTCTAGCTTGCAAACGCGCTGAGATACTGGAATGTGTGTGCATTAACAAGTTATAACACCTCTGCAGAAACATGGTGACTAGCTTGGTTTGTTCTTCTGCCTCCTGCAGATTAGATAAGCTGAAAGTACCTTTAACAAACTACCATTTTTTTCCAAAAAAGCTGTAGTAGTGACCCAAAAATAAGTTGTCTGAAGAGATGTAATTAAATGTTTTATAACTTCTCACAGTTTAAAATAATCTATTTCACATGACGATTTAAACTGGGAACTTTAGTTTACCAGTTCTAGTTTTCACTCTGAGATGTGCCTAACCTTTTGTGAGATGGCTCTTTTTGTCTTTTAACTCCTCTATAAATGGCTCTTAGATTGGTATGTACTTGTCAAAATCTGAACGAAAGGTATAACATAGATGATTTTTCTAAGAAGTTTCCCTAAATATGCGCGTAATGCTACTTCGTAAATTTGGTAAATTAATCTTTATACTTGGCTAAAACAATTCCAGAACCCTACATAAGTGGTTTTTCTTTGTCATAGTTCTCCTTTAGATTCTTATTTGGCCCTTTATATTTCTGCAGATTTTAGGCAGTAAGATAACCCACCATTTGTAAATAATATATGTAAAAGTCTTCATAAGAAGTAGGTTGAGATACACAGCTACAGTTTCAAATGTCCATACTTTCTGCGTGCTTTAAACCTATTTAACTTCTTATGATGATACTAAAATTAAAACTTACATGAGATTTTTGACTTGTTTGCTATTAGTTTGATTAGTTCAGCTATGTCATTGATGGATTTATTACAGATGTTTTCTAGTTGCAGTCAGCTTTTTATCTTCTCGTTTAATGGGTGAATTAGGACTAATGAAAACACAGGCACTGCTGAATGTTGGGGAAAGCAAGCTGGAAAGCAGGTCGTCGTTCTTCGTTGATTCAGATTTGAGTCTAGCTCAGTTTAAGTCTAGATCAGTCCTGGAGTGGGTGTTTCAAAGCACATTATTTAAATCATGATTTCCAGTTTTCTGGCATGTAGGAGGCTTGACTGCTCGTTTGCTGGGCAGCTCTCAGGTGCATTCATACAGCGTGTGGTTGTGATGAGAAACTGCTTGGGAACATGGAGCATGGTTCGAGGCTGCCTCAATCTGAGAGCGTTCGAGCTGAGCCAGAGCTAATAGGTCTGATAGGTTTAGGTTGAATTCATGTAGAGCTAGCTTAGGTGTCGGTTTGCTGCTCTCCCAGATCCAGAAATGTGTTGCAAAAGACCTGAAGTTGGTTGTGAAAGAAGCTAGCTTAACGCTACAGAAGCAGCAAAGTGGCCTCTGGACAGAGCTGAGTCTGGAACCTGCGTTCAGGTGTTACAGCACCCAGGTTAATAAACCCGACCAGATACAGAGCAGGCTTTGTGTAGAGCCAAAGTGGTATTTCTGCAGCCATGCCACAGCTGCAATCTTCAAATTAGATAAAGTGTCCCTGCATAATGGACTGACTGTATATATGCAGCAAGTAGTCAGAGACAGAATGGACCTTTTAATTATAGTACTGCATTTATAGTATGTTGAATTTGTTACAAAAAAAATTGTTGGAAATGTTGTTTATGCTGACCTGATTCAGCCTATTTCATATTCTTTGTGCACTTGCACCAACAATAGAAATTAGAGCTAAGTCAAAACATAAATACCATTTAATATATTTTTAACAGGCATGGATGGTCAGAAGCACTCGCAGGTATCAGAAGCCCCCATGTAAAATACATCTGCCCGCATGCGTAAGTTCAGAATTGTTATTGTTTTTCCTTTTCTGTAGAGTTACACGTTAAGAGACTTACACAGATGATGAAGTCAAGTGGGATTTGGATATGTCTACATGTTTTTATGTAAAAGTTATTTAAAATAATTTTGATGCTATTAAATATTTTGTCCTTTTTAGGGAGTGCTGTGTGATTTACTTGAGGACAATACTGTATTTTTATTCGTATTTTGTGTTTGCTACTAATTCAGGCCGAACAAATAGTTGGGAAGTATTATGTGCAAAGTTGGTTTGTTTTCTTTCACTGGATTCATTTTACAATATGCTTCGTATAATTACATGCATTCCTCAAACTCAAGCATCCATGTATGGCAGATGGAATTTGCCTGTTACCTACAGCATATTTCAAAGATTCACAAGATACTCTTACTCATTTTTTCGGCAAATAAATGCAACTTGAGCTTTTTTTGTGCAATGTGAGAAGTGAAATACTCGTGAGCAGGCCAAGATTCAGTAAACAAGCATTCAAATCTATCTAATATTTCCTTAACAACTGATAAACTAGTAAAAGTATAATCCTAGCGTGTTTTAAGAAGAAATTCAGATCGTGTTTTTCCTCAACAATCTTGGGAGATGTGGAGCAGGCGTGGCAGGGAGATAAGCAAGCCATGTTTTGGTGTGTATCAGGTGATTACTGGGCTGTGAATTTACACATTTATTTATTATTCATTCTTTTATTTTTATCACATGACAAATTGCTGAACCATTTAAAAAGATCTTAGCAGTCTCTGCTGTTCCCTTTGCCTGCGATTTGTTTTCCTTCTATCTTTCCCCGCAGAACTTACTTTCCTCTGTTTCAGTAGGTTAAACCTATGTCACATCAGATCCCTGGCATGGTCTAACAGAGTTTTCTTGGTATGTCTGTGAAGATGGCATGTGGCAGCTTGGGGGTAGGAATGAGCCATGCAGTGGGGGCAGGCATTGCTCAAGTAGGTACTGCTGATGAGAGAAGCGTTGACGTGTGGTCAGACTCCTATCAATGGGATGCAGTTTGATGCAACCTTAGGTGTGCTGACACTGCTGTGTAAGGTGTCTTTACCCACTGAGTATGTATATGGCATAGTAAATTGATCAGCGTACTATTTTTAAATGACTAAGTGGGATATGTATGTGTGTGCTAAACGTGTGTGTGTGTGTATGTTTATACATAGGAAATATATTTTAAATATATATTATGTAATATGTATTTAAATATAATGAATATTAATTATAAAAATTATATAATATCACTATATTTTAAATAAATGAATAAAACCAGCCCACTGTTGTGCTCTCCATCAAGACTGGTAAGTTAGCCCTGAATGATAATGCGTTTGGGGTGACAGGTTTCAAGAGATGCTTCTTGAAGAGATGCTATGAGGTAACTAATGCTAATTATTGTTTAGAAGTAAAATAAAACTTTGGATATGTAGTTTCATGATGTAACTGCTTCTGCATTGTTACATTTCAGTGTATACCTCCTGTCAAGAGTATGTCACTCTTATTCATTCTCCCTTTCAGGCCAGTTATGCCAGTTTCTTTAAACATGAATATGGCTATGCCATCATGGTGAGTACTTGTTCAGTTGCAAAAGATTCTAACCAAAAGCTATCAAAGTGTTTGAATTCATTGTTCTTAACTCTGGGTGATTGGCAATACGTGATATGTCAACTAACAACATTTTAATCTGGAGAATATCTCAATTTTGTTATTTGTGTTTTAGGGAACCGGAATGGGTGCTATAAAAACTGATACTTTTGTTCATATTCTTATAAGGTTTGATATCATTGGACTTTCTCCAGATGCACAGGAAGATGAAGCTGGGATCAAGCAGGCAGCAGAGAATGGTATGTTCAGAAACACTTTTAATATCTTAAAAATACTTCAGTGTGCCCTTAAAAAGGGATTACCAGTCTGAAACA